ATTGCTGTAGCTCGACTAACGCCCCCATTTTGTGTGTATGTATATTTCCTCCGTCCCTAAAGAAGTATCATTCTCTCTGGTCGAAGAGTCAAACAATTTTAACTTTATCAAATATATACAAAAAAAATATTAATATTTATAGTACATAATTAGTATAGATATATCGTAGAATCTATTTTTATAAACTTATTTGAAGACGTAAATGTTATTAATATTTTTTATAAATATAGTTAAACTTAAGAAAAGTTTGAGCGACACTTCTTTTGCGACAAAGCACAGTATAACTTAAACCACCGCACTCCAATGCATATATAGTAGAAACAAAAACACGTCCACCACATTCTTATGGAGCTACCAGTACCATGGAGTTCTCTCATCGCCGTGGCGCTGTTCCTTGTAGCCGTGCTCCTTCGCCGGCGGCGGTCCAGCTCCAGCAAGTACATGCTGCCGCCGGGCCCTCGGCCATGGCCGGTGATCGGCAACCTGAACCTGATCGGGCCACTCCCGCACCGCTCAATGCACGAGCTCTCCACGCGGTACGGGCCACTCATGTCGCTGCGGTTCGGCTCCTACCCCGTCGTCGTCGGCTCATCCGTCGACATGGCGAAATTCTTCCTCAAGACCCACGACCTGGCGTTCCTCGACCGCCCCGCCGTGGCCTCGGCTAGGCACATCCTCTACAACGGCTCCGACGTGCTGTGGGCGCCGTACGGTCCGTACTGGCGCCAGGGGCGCAAGCTGTACCAGAACGAGCTCCTCAGCGCGAGCCGGATCAAATCGACAGAGCATATCCGCATCGAGGAGGTGCGCTGCATGCTGCGGGATGTGTCGGCGGCCGCGTCCCGCGACGGAGGCGCGGTGGTGCGGCTCAAGGACCACCTCTCCATGGCGAGCTTCAACGTGGTCTCGCGCATGGCGCTAGGCAGGAAGTACATCTTCGACGGCGCCGGCTCGCTGATGCCGCCGGAGGCGTTCCGGTGGATGATCCAGGAGTTCTTCTTCCTCAACGGCGTGGTGAACGTCGGGGACGTGATCCCGTGGCTCAGCTTTCTGGACCTGCAGGGGTACATCAAGAGGATGAAGAGACTGAGCAAAATGATCGACCCGTTGCTCGAGCACGTCCTGGTCGAGCACAGTGAGCGGCGACGGCGACAGGGCGAGGGCTTTGTGCCGAGGGACATGGTGGACCGGCTGCTACAGCTCGCTGACGATGCCAACCTGGAGGCTCCCATCGAGCGGGATGGCATCAAGGCATTCATTCTGGTAAAGACTTCACTTTCTTTCACTCCATCTGCTGGTATATATATGTCACAGAGAGATGATCGATCGACGCGCGTGAATGCCGGCAGGACATCATCGCCGCTGGCGCGGATACCTCAGCGGTCGCCACCGAGTGGGCTCTCTCGGAGCTTCTAAGGAATCCCGAGGCCATGGCCAAGGCCACGGGCGAGCTGGACCGTGTCGTCGGCGGTGGCAGGCTGGTCACGGAGGAGGACATCCCGCGCCTCCCGTACCTGGATGCTGTGGTGAAGGAGACCTTGCGCGTGCACCCGGTCGCGCCGCTGCTCGCGCCCCGGCTGTCCCGCGAGGACACCTCCGTGGGCGCCTACGATATCCCGGCCGGCACCCGCGTGTTCGTTAACGTCTGGGCCATTGCCCGCGACCCTGCTCTGTGGGGGGACGCCTCGGAGGAGTTCCGGCCGGAGCGCTTCGTCGGGAGCGGAGTGGACGTGAAGGGCCACGACTTGGAGTTCCTGCCGTTTGGGTCCGTTCTAGCGTCGAGGCCCACCAACGTGTGTCCGGACAAAACGGACTTCCTAGCCACATCATTATCGTTTATAAATATATATAACTATATTTATATCCAATTATTAAAGTACAAATCAGAATGTATTCGTTGTCGTTCACTCTCTCTTATACCTGTACTATAACACCTCATGTGTTAAATATGTGTTAAACGTGATCATTAAGCACTACACTAAACAGGTTGCCAGACCATCACTATCGGGTATGTTGCCTTTTACCGTTGGTTCATAAGACCATATGATTCAGAAAATTCCGGAGAAGTTATTCACCCGGCACCCGGTAGTGAAGGCTATCACTATCGAATCAAGACACAAACCAGAAGTAATAAGTGTGATATCACTATCGGCTAAGGTTATCATTATCAGTTCATGGCTTGACCCAGCAGTGATATGAAATTATCACTGCCGAGTTTTGAGAGCTTAAGGCTTATAGTTTCCCTGTCTAAGTCTAAGCCTGTACTGGTAGAGATCCACAGTGCAGAGAATCAGACCTCTGATGTGTTAATCTTTCTTATGTAAGAACTAGATCTTGTTGGTGGAGGAATAAAGCAACCATTCCTCGTATATCTGAGTTCTTGCTTTGTGTTCTCGAATCGTTTAGGTTTTTCCTCTCCCGAACCCCCTTCTCTTGCGTTTTGGGTGATTTCGTTTTTCTAGAGATTTGAGACCGATTGGGTGGCTAGAGAACATATCTACCAACCCATTTGGTCAGATTCCTCACGAGCACAATTTGGCGGGATTTTTTAGCAAAGTTGAGAAAACCCCAGCTCGGTTCATGGATTTCTAGATCCTCAGAGTTCCCTTGATCTTTTGGGCTTGATCTTCTAGGAATATCTTCTTGACATCTTCTTCTACCTCTGTACCAAATTTGGAGTCAATCAGACTTGATTTGGGTCGATTTCCACTTTTGGGAGGAATATTTCCGGCTGTTGGCAGGCAAAGCCGGCCAGGCCATGTTCTATAATTGATAATAATTCTCTGGTCATCACCGAGAACATTCAAACACCAGTTGGCTCGAGGGCATCACTCTTGTGTGATTTCATGTTTTGGAGTGTTGTTTGGGACAACGACCATTTCGGAAGAAATTTTGATTGGCTCTCATTCAAACCAGCACCCCCACCCCATCCCTCCTCTGGTCGTCTTTCTCGGTCCTTCAACAAGTCATGATTTGTAAATGTCTACAAGTAGCTACAAGCATGGTTTGTCCATACGTTATACATTCAACACAAGTTGATGGTCAAATAAAAACATTTCAAAAATATATTAAAATGGGTCTTCACTACCGGAAACGTTAAATTTGCCGAGTGTTTTTATATTTGCCGAGTGTATTCTCTCTCGCACTTTCGGCAAACAAGTTTTTCATGAAAGTCTTTGGGCTAAAAACACTCGGCAAAAAATAACACTTTCGGTAAAGAGGAGGTTTGTTTAGTATAAAAAAAACATTCGGCAAACTCCCCTGCTTGCGAATGTTTTTTTTTTTTTGACACTCAATAAAGAAATAAAATCTTTTTCTAGGAAAGAAGGAGAATAAAAAATATATAAAAAAACTTTGCTTTGAGTGGCCAGATCTAGGACACTCGACAAAGAAAAAATATTTTTTCTAGAAAAGAAAGAGAAGAAAAAAATAAAAAAACTTTACCGAGTGCCCAGATCTAAGACACTCGGCAAAGGAAAAAATTGTTTTTCTGAGAAAGAAAAAAGAGAAAAAAAACTTTTGCTGAGTGCCCAGTCCAGACACTTTCGGCAAAGTAAAAAACTATTTAATTAACCGCCGCCGCCTTCCCTCCCTTCCCTCAGCCTCCTCCTCCTCCTAGAACCGCCCGCTCCCTCCCTCTCCCAGATCCGCCTCACCCACGCCCCTCCTCCTCCTCCCGGATCCGCCCCCTCCCTCCCCTCAGCTCCCTCCTCCTCCCAGATCCGACGGCGCTTCGTCCCTCATCTCCATGGCATGTCACCATGGCGCGCACGAGCTCCTCTCTCAGTGAGCTTCCTCCGGCGCGCTTAGCCATCGCTCCATGGCATGTCACGCGCGAGCTCCTTCCCAATGCGCGAAGCCGTGCAGCTCCATCCTCGGCAGCCAGGCCATCCTCGCAGCCTCTCCGCCCCATCCCCGACAACTGGTGATTCAAGAGGAAGAAGAAGAGTTGTGTGGTGTGGGATCCGGTGGCGTCCCCGACGCGGCCCTTTCACACGGAGGCGAGCGGCGCCCTGCCCTGGCACGGGCGCTTCCCCAGCGACAGCGAGCTCCGGCCTGCCCTGGTGGTGGTGGTGGTGGGCGGTGGCGGCGGGACTTGTTTTTTTTTCCCAAAAAATGTTTGCCGAGTGTTTTTTCTGGACTCGGCATAGTCTTTGCTGAGTGCCCGACGTTTGACACTCGGCAAACAGCTCTTTGCCGATAAAAATTTGTCGAGTGTCGTTTGTCGAGTGTAACACTCAGCAAACACTTTGCCGAGTGTTTTTGGGGCTGGCACTCGGCAAAGCTCGTGTATCCCGTAGTGATGCTTGTTTTGTAGATCTCATTTCAAGTAAAACAATTACTCAAATGAATTTGAAGATATATTCTGTATGTGAGAGTTATTATCAATTATAGAAATACATCAAGTTTTAATAAATTGGCATCAGCTGCAAGGCGTGTGTTTTATCCTTTGCAATTAGTTCTGCTCCCATGTAAAGCCCTCCTGACATCAGCGGTGATACAGGTGCCAAAGGGGACATGATGGCATCCTCAACAATATAGTCAATTTGCTAGCTCATATGAACTTAAAAAACAAAAATAGAGTAAGCTAACATGCTAATATAGAAAAATGTGTAATATATAGACACATGGATCCTAGGAAAGTAGGTGAACTTAACTCTTTATGAAGAGCTAGCTTATCATTCTCTCTGCTTTTTATTGATAAAATATTCTACGAGCTATAGATCTTTTTAATACTGTTGGAGCTACCTAGAGTTTTTAGTGTTTTGGTAACAGTACACCCATTGAAGTTTTATTCAGTTTTAAGTGTTTTAGTAACACAGTACACGCTGGGTTTCATCCAAATGAAACTCATCTCCTCTCTTTCCTCATAATTTCTACGTAACATCGTCATTTTTACAGATGTGTCACCGCATTAAATAGGAAGAAAACTCTCATTGGAACTAGCCTAATAACTAAAACAACATAGTGCAAGATCGATACAATAACAAAAAAAAAGTTCAAACAGTAGGGCCGTTGAGAAAGAGGGAGACGACGAGATCCTTGAGGTCGGCAGCAAAGGTGTAGGCATCTCTGCCGCCAAGGTATATGACCTCCAGCGTCTTGGTCAGGTTCACCACCAGCTGCGCGGCCGGCAACAGCGCGCTATCCATCTCCATGCACGACCGGTTAATTGTCCTCCACGCGTGCTCCGCCATCCCCGCGATCGCGGTCACCGCCTCCTCCCCTGACGTGCCATGCTCCTTGGCGTAGCATTCCACGGAGCTTGCCAAGTCCTTCTTGTTCTTCCCCTTCTTGTACGAAGCGATGTCGTTGAGGAAACGAGCGACCTCTCCACTGGCGGTGACCACGTCCGGGACGCCGATCGCCCACTGGAACGCCTCCCTGGTCGCCATGTCACCTGCACCCATAAGCAGCACCACGGCTAGTGTTGGGAAGCCTGACGACATGACAGACACCTCCATGTGCTCTTTGAAGCTCGGCGCGTATTTCTCACTGCACCATTTGGCCTCGTCCAGATAGTACTTTGATGACAGTTTAAACTGCGAGAAATTAATTAAACAAATTAATATTCATGTATCACTAGTGCTTCGTACCAACGTACATATGAACAAAACAAAGTATACACCATACGTTTAAATATACACTTTAATTGATCGATGTATAATAACTTTTCTTACCGCTTGCTTTGCATAGGATACGCGGTACTTCTCATTTGGCTGCAAACTATGCTCAAACTCTTGAAAGTTCCTCACAAGATTGATGTAGAACATTTTCATGTACTCTGGAAGAATGGAAGCAGTGGTTTCATCCCATCTGCGCGCAGACAAGACACACGTAATGAGATATATAGAACCTAATCAGGTCATGCATAAACCTCCAGCTTGAGTTGATGTGCTGTTATATATAGTACTCCCTCCATTTCAAATTATACATAATATATGTTTTAACTTTTCTAGATACATAGATTTTGCTATGTACGTGGATATACATTATTATGTCTAGATACATGGTTAAAGCAACAGAAATGCCAAAACGTCTTATAATTTAGAGCAGGGGGAGTATATACATATGTACCTCTGTATAGCATCGTTGAGTATATGGCATTCCTCTAATGTAGCATACACATCGTACGTGTCATCCATCAAGGACAGCAACCCGAATGTCTTGGCAAACAGCATTCGCGCACGAGAGTATTCCTCCTCATGGAACACCCCACACGTCCAGAAGTAGTTCTCCACTAGCCGGTCTCGGGCGTACGTAGTTTAGTTTCACATTGCCACAGAGATCCTTCCACCACCTGCAAAAATTGAATCAAAGGTCAATTGACTGACTGATCATCAACATAAATAATTAGGCAGGATTATATAATAGGAAACGTAGTCAACACTTACAATGACAGGTCCTTTAGCTCCCTGAGGTGAAGAAACCTGAGCAAGTCAAAGTCCAGCCTCGCGAGCTCCAAGAGCACGGCGTCGTGCCCCTCTTCTTTGCCATACTCTACGACGTAGTGCATCGTCTCCAGCCGCTTTGGCAGGCGTGCGAGAGGGATGTCGAGGGCACGGGACACTTGCTCTTCCAGTGGCGACGGGAGCCTGCCTTTCATGGACGCAAGGTGACGCCTGGAGAAGGAGATGGCTTCGTCGAGGGCCTGCTCGCCAGGTGTTGCCATGTGAGCCGCGTTGTATAGGCTCAGAAAGCCCCTCGGATCACTGGCCAGACTTTCAATGAAACTGCCGGTCCTTTCATCTCTGAATCTGTCGAATACATCTGTCAAGGTAGCGTACTTGTGTGTTATATACGCTTGCTGCATATATAGGCATGGAACGAACGAGAATCTGTAGACGACACATTTATACGTATTATTACGACGACGTATACCTGGAACGAACGAGAATACATCTGTAGAATACAACCGTCAGCCCAGCGCCGGTCTCCTCCAGGCTCGCAGGAGGAGCTGCAGCAACCGTGTTCGGAGCCATACCACTGATTTCGTGAGCGAAACCGTGTGTGTGTCGATCAGCAAGTTCGTCGATCAGCAGCTGGCTCGCTGCTTGCACTTGCATGCACTGCTTACTCTACTCTCTCTATTGTTATCTATATTTATACAGAGCGATCGAGCAACAACACATGAGTGGGGACGATGCTTACTAATAATAGAGGTATGGCGATATGGCTTTGCTGACGACGACTTAATTATAACCTAACCTGCATGAATCAGGAATGAATTCAAGCAACTGGTAAAATAAAAACCTCGTGTGGTTCACGTGTGCTTACAGTATTCTATAAGTCCTGTATGGGTGCATTGCACCCCCATTCCAAAGGAATTTCTGCACGAGCTCAAAGCTTATATGATAATTGATTTATAGATTAAGAAGTACATAACGCGGGTCTCTCTCTCTCTCTCCTCTTCCGATCTAGTGTTTCCTAAAAGTTTCTTAGACCAGTTTCCCACCACGTTCCACAAATTCTCACACCAACCATAGCGACACTATACTTCATCTCTCTCTTCATTTGTCATCCGAGCATGTACGATTCATGTTTATAATCAGGCATTATATTCGGATCCTATGTGTGCGCGCGTGTTTTCTCTCCTCTGGTGCAAAGAGGTCTTCTCATCATCGTCTCCAAACCCTCGAGAAACCTCACTAATAAGAGCTCCAAGCTATCGCTGCTATCAGGGCAACTTGTAGTCGTTGCCTAGAGGCCTCTCCTTTATCTCCAATGAAACCACCAGAGGGAAAGAAGGAGAGGAGCCCATCCCTCATTTATAGTTGAGTCGTTCCTTTAGGTTTAGTTTCACTATTATAGATATATCATTACTGTCAGGTCTCAAACCCCATCACTGTCGATTTTGCTCGGCTGTGGACTATGGTGAAAGTGGACAGTGAAAATGGATATAATCACTGACAATTTGCAAATCAGCGGTGAAAAGCAAATAAAAAAATTTAAAAACTTCGCGCTGCCACAATTGACAGCCTCGTCCCCGTCCTCGCCCACGCGATCCTCGTCCTCGTCTTCACCCGCGCGGTGGCTATCCTTGCCCTACAAGAGTGAACACACTGTATGACAATTTCCACAAATCCTCGTCTGCGCCATCCTCATCCTCGTCCTAGCCCACGCGGTGGCTATCCTTGTCCTTGTTGCCCAGGTCTGTCGCATGAAGAAGGGCAGCGAGTCCTTGACGCCACCACACCGGGAGAGGGGAGGTCCCCCCTAGATGCACTAGAAGAGGGGGCAGGGAGTGGGCTCCTATCATCTGGCCGATTGTCGCGATGCATGCCGATATCGGTGAGAGATGGGTCGGGAGGGAGGGAGAGGGGCCCGAGAGGAAGAGAGAGTGGTGGCCGGGAGGGAGTGCCAGTGACCAAGAGAGAGAAGGATAGGTTTGGTGTCTGCTTATATATTTTCTTCGTTTTTTATCGTCAGATTGTGTCTTGAACCAACAGCGAAAACTAGTCTGGTTTTCATTGTCGGTTCGGGATACAACCTGACCGTGAAAAAGATTATCACTACCGACTCCATTAGGTCAAAGTGAAAATAATTTTCACCGGTGGATTCATTACAAACCTGCGGTAATAATGTTCGTCGATCAGCAGCTGGCTCGCTGCTTGCACTTGCATGCACTGCTTACTCTACTCCGTATTGCTATGGATATTTATACAGAGCGATCGAGCAACACATGAGTGGGGACGATACTTATACGTATAATAGGTATGGCGATGGCTTTTCCTGACGGCGAATTAATTATAACCTAGACCTGCATGAATCAGGAAAGAATCCAAGCAAATGTAAAATAAAAAACCCCGTGGTTCACGTGTGTGCTTACAGTATTCTATAAGTCGTATCGGTGCATTGCGCACGAGCTCAAAGCCCCATCACTATCGCTTGCAGTAAAAGTGGGCATTAAAAATGGATATAATCACTGACAATTTGCAAACCAGCGGTGAAAAGCAAATAAAAATTTAAAAAACCTCACGCCACCACAATCGACATCCTCGTCTCCGTCCTCGCCCGCGCGATCCTCGTCCTCACCCACGCGGTGGCTATCCTTGCCCTACAAGAGTGAACCCACTATATGGAAAAAATAGAGTTTATTTTTTTAAAAGAAACAGCTGCCCTGTACCGGTCACAAGAGTGAACGCACCATATGCAAATGAAGTTAAAAAAACAGCTGCTAAGATCCGTGGATGAAACGGCGCCAGTATATTATATTACCACGTTGGCTCGAGGACACAACCCACCACAGAGCATGGGTGCCGCACCATGCGGTCATCAGTTTGCTCGAAGCTTTTCACACCTTGCCAGCTCATTTCGGGCCTGCCCTGGTCGACGACTCGGCAAGGTTGTCGATCGGCACGCGGCAGGACACACGTGTTTTTCGTGTCGGCATGTTTTGGACAGCCCCTTGGGCCTCATCCCCCCGCCCCTTCCTCCCTACCGCGCCCACCTCGCCACAGATGCGCCCATGCGGCCATGCCGGCCTCGCTCACAGGGCTACACGTATAGCGGTGCCTGCACGAGCCGCTCTCGCGTGGCCGCGCCAGTTTCTCCCTGTCTCCTGCAGCGGGCACACTTGCGCCTGCACGGGCAGCGACCGCGTTGGCATCGCCCGCGCCCTACAAGGCTGCTGCAACGTGTTAGGGCCTGTTCTTCTCTTTAGTCTTAGATTAGAGACTAAAACAGAAACTAAAATGGTGTTTATTTTTAGGGACTAAAGAAGAGGAGAGAGACTACGAGGAAGGAGAGAGAGGGATGGATATGGGCTGTTTAGTCCCAATTAGCAGCCTTCTAAGGAACTACTATATTTTAGTCCCTAGTTCCTATTTTAGTCCCTAGTGTTTAGTTTAAAGGGACTAATTGAGACTAAAATATAGTCTTTAGTCCCTTCTCCAATGGAAAAGAACATGCCCCTAATCAGCAAACGATCACGGGTATTAAATGCAAACCATCCGATCCGACAGGGAACTAGTCGTTTCCATTTTTAGCATTACTCTCTTTCCTAATTTTTGTGCTCTGATCCGTGCAAGAACCCTACCGAGGTATAGCTTTCATGACTGACCTTGACGAGGAACCTTCTTCCTCGGTGGACATTCCTCTCCCTTTGATCGCAGTTCATCATGAACAAGTTACCAATGTCAAGCGTCCACTTGTCTACCACTGTCCTCCCGCATGTTGGCTTGCTGCTGTATTTGGCCCGGTGATGAAATGAATCTCTTTCGGCGTAACGACATGTTAGATCGCCAGTGTTTGGAAATGGGCAGAAGACCGAGGCAGGGGCAGGGTTTCGAGTGGAGATGTGTTTGGGAGTGGAACAATGCCATGTCCCTTCTTTTTGCATGTTGTAAGTTGCTTCCACTGGAACATATCAGTGAGGTTCAATTGTGAACTGAGAGTCTGAACCTGTACATGCTATTCTTTGTCTGCAGCTCCCTGGATAGAATTTATACTAATACTACTCCTGGTCCAAAATCCAAACGAGGGATACACTTTGCTCTTCTGGCTAGGCTTATGTCCTGTAGGCGTATTCCACTATTAATTACTACTTTTCTTATTCGATTTGATAAACCTGGTCAGGTATTCAGTGATAAGCAACAAAGGGGCTTTGTATAGAATTTTTGTGTCTAGACCTTTACGAATAAGTGAGAATGGCTTGTTAAGTTTATCTTGACGATGGTATTTTTGCATATTTGGACAGGCCACTGGTTTCGCAGCAAATAACTTTCACCATCTTAAATATTCCATCTATTTTACTCTTAGTATTTCATTCATAACTCCCGGTTATGCCTAAAAAAGTCATGTAGCAGATAATGAAGGTTGCCTCTTATGTGATGTATTAGTAGGATTATCTAACTTGCTTACTCGTTACCAACCGAGCAGTTGAGTTTTCTATGAAAGTAAGCATTAGATTTTAAATATTGTTGAATTTGGTTGTCAGTCACCTGGTAGTTGTTGGTGTTTATTAACGCACACCGATAAATCCGCAAGCGTACGGGTACCGCTGTAGCTTTCATCTAGAAATATTCCAAGTATCGTATCCACGGATAAACATGTGAGACTAACTACGATCTAACTTAACTAAGGGTAGCAACAAGGTTAGGATAAACAGGAGCGTAGAGAGGATAACTAAGGTTCTCTTGTTCTGACTTTGATAAGTTATATCTTCTACTATTCAACTGGGGACATTACTTAAGGAAATACACTAGTAGAGGATGTATTCCTTCGTAATCGGGTCCTACTTGGCCTACAAACGGGAGGTGGACTACAGAGGACTCAACGAATGTGTCACACTTGCGTTCTAACGCTACTTCGCGATCTACCACCGGTCCGGAATGCAGGGTGCATCCACGATTAACCCAAGTCCAAGCATCACACTTACACTTACGATTAATACTTTACTCCCCCTAGGAAGAGAATAAAGAACTCAAAAGAGTTATGATCCTGATGAACAATATAAATTAGATACTTACTTGAATCAGAAGTTGATTATCAGAGAAATCTCAGAAGCAAGCTCAAGTAGAATTTGGATCGACCAAGGTACAAGCCGTAGAGAGAGCACCAACAGGCCGGCACCTCCTCCAAACTCTTTTCTCACTCTCTATCTCACTATTTCTATTGATAAGACTAGATCCTATGGAGGACTAATCTTTTCTTGATTGCTGGCTCTGATCCTGATGAAGAGGATATGAATTAAGGTTCTAGGATGGCTCTCCGAAGGGGGGTACAGGGCCATATATATAGGGGGTCACATCAATTCTGGACCCTCGGATCAAACCGACTTAAAAGGACGACGTAGAAGCAATCTAGGAGGCGGTGGTGTAAAGATGTTATGCCTTTTTCTTCCTACCACTAAGGCTTATGTGGAGTTCATATGTAGGGAGAAAGCTAGAGCATACTTGCAATGCATATATTGTAAAGTCAAACAATGAATCCAAAGAGAGCGGAGTCATACAATCAAATCAAGATGTGCATGCGTGTGGAT